CGGTGCAGTGGGTGTCCCTCCCTTTGGCTGCTCAGAGCTCACACGCATCCATTCTGCATAGTTATGACCCCATCAGCCTCTGGCTTGAATAAGTAAAAAAATCACAGAGAGGCATTTACACTCCCTCTTTTTATATTTCCTATTGAAAAATGGGGGTGTGGTTTCCCGCCGCATTGCTATCACTGAAGCTTTGTACGTTTTCCTTGGCGAGCTCCAGGGTCTCCATGTGTGCAGGAAGTCAAGAGCCAGCGACGAGCCGAGACAACAAGAAAACTTATCGTGTAAAAGCTTTTTCACGGCATATTATTTTCTGAGATGTGATCATGACCTTTTGATGATGTTCTGTTGTTGTTGGTAATAAACCCTTTCTTCGAGAAGCCCTCCCTCTGTTGATGCCGGTGTTGGACTTGTGGAAGGATCAGAGAGGGTGAGCACCCTTCCTCTGCTTCGCCGGCGTTCTGAGAGAGGAAAAGAAGGTCAAGTACTGTACCTCCCTAATGAGGGTGTCTTTTAAAATGCCACTTTTAATGCATGAGTATGTGGGAACAAATGTCACTGTGTATAATAATAAAAAGATAAGTTGAGGTTGGCTCAAGGGAATAAAAAACACCCCTGGCCTCAGCTAGAAACCCTGAACTGAATGGGTTTCTTTGTCAAGTCCTAGAAACCTCCCTCTGATGATGTCTTTGGTTACGACTGTCACGTGACCTGAGACATAAGAAAGCTCAGCATGAACAGGGACACTTTGGACTTTGCAAGCAGAGAAATATCATGGACATCTCCCTGGAGACAAGAGTGTTCACGAATATAAGCAAAATCTGTAAACAGCAGCTCTCTAGGCAAATGGGATTCTGGGGCGGGGGAAGCATTGTGGTCAGCTAGCTTTTAAAAGGATTCCAAAGAGAGCTGCCCGCTGGTATTGATGTAGCCTTGCCCCACATTGGGAGGGCTGTCCTATGTAAACGGTAGGCTAGTGTAGCCATGAGGACTTGTCACTGGCCAGGAGACGTCACCGAAGACACTGCAGCATTGACTTTGAACTCTATCTTTGGCACAGACCGTAAGTGCACTCCGTTTGTGAATACTCTCCATGCTGCACGTTTATGATACAGGTGCTTTCGGTTGGGTATCCATGAATTAAAAAATGCATGATCAGTTAAAGGTGGAGTCGTGGGGCTGGAATCCAGATGGTAGTAAGTTATAGAGACATGATGGTCTGAGAAAGGACAAACAGAATACCTGAAGAAACTGGGCCCCATGATTCTCTAACTCTGAAAAATGCCATCTACAACCGCAGAGGATTAAGACAGTGACCACTTAAGTGGCTCAGAATTATGTGGGTTAGCAATTTGGGCTGGGCTCAACGGAGGGCTTTTCTGCTGGTTTCTTAAGCAGTTTGGATCTCGGTGATTCGAGATGGTCTCACTCCTGTGCCTGGTTATCACTGGGGTCTCTCTGCCTTGGCATGGCTTCTCATCTTCACCAGATGGCAGCATTCTAAGAGGCTGAGTAGAAGCTGAAAGGTCTCTCCAGTGCTGCGTGCAAAGGCTGTATAACATCATCTCTACCTCATTCTACCCATCCAAGAAAGCTACCAGCCCTGCTCCTGTTTAATAATAGAGAATGGTGGTAGCTTCTTGAGCACAGGCTTTCTCTAAAGGGGACATTGGCTGATGTGGCAGTTACATAATCTCCTGTCAACTTGCAAAGGGGTGGAGTCTAGGCTGTCAATCAGGTCATAGCCAATGAGACCTCTGTGTGGGCATGGCCTTTTCCTGAGGACTCTGGGAACTCCTGTCTTCCTCCCTGGAGGTGGGACACAGTCTCCCTGAGACACATTCCTGTTGTCAAACCACAGGGAACTACACTGGAGACAGAGCTCTGGAGCTGGAAGAGCCATGGGGAGACCCACACCAGCACTGAGATGCTTTCACTGCCACTGGATCCACAAGACTTTCCACCCACTGGCCTGTGAAATTCCTGCATTCAGCATCAATGCATGTATTGCATGAGTCTGAAGAGGAAATTATAGACTGGTATCAGACATATGGCATAATATTGGACTTGTGGACTTGATCTGGACTGGGCTGGGATTTCTTACTATACAATTAATCTCTATAGAAAGCTCTTTCTTTTACACATAGGAGTGTGTATGAATTTGTTTCTCTAGTCTACCTGGACTAACACAGCTGAGCTCCAACAGGCATTGATGCCATGCGGTCTTCAGCGTCCACATAGTCTCAATGTTCACGAACATCAGAAAGCCAAAATACTATGTGAAATTTTCCAATTTGGCAATTAATCCACAATGCTAAACACCACTTTGTGGGCCAAATGAACATGGCTGTTGGATAAATGCAGTTGTGAGCCTTGAATTTACAATCTCTGCACAGGACTCAAATAGCACAGAATTTCAGAAATTTGCTCCCTCTCTCCTTGGCCCATGGGGCATCAGCTTTTGACTTTGGTTTATATTCTTGTTGTGGTAAACCGACACAGGAAGAAAACCAGGGATTCAGATTTTAGAAAAACTCACGTTCTCCCCCCTAGTCCACTTCTCTTTGCCCATCCTCCAGCTTAGCTCCTCCCCGAGAAATGGCTGTTGTTTGTTGTTGTCAGTTGCCATCGAATAGATGCCAACACAGGATGACACTGTGTGCTGAGTCGAATTGCTCTATCGGCTTTTCACAGTTGTGACATTTGGACAGTACATGACCAGGTGCTGGGGCACCTTTGATGGGCCCAACTGCCAACCTTTTGGCTAGGAGTCACATGTGGAACAGTCTGGTCCTACCAGGCACCCCTCACCTGGTGATTGTTGTCCTGGATCTGGAAGTGTGGAACACAGCTGCTCTGATCGAGGATGGCCATTCGCCGGGCACCTCCTAGGTGGCAGGCCTTCTGCTTTTACCGAAGCCTCTCATTCCACCTGCAGCGTCTTATTGACCTCTCCCAAACTCACTGCCGCAGAGTGGATTCCATCTCACGGAGACCCTACAGCACAGGGAAACACTGCCCCTGTGGTTTCCGAGACCGCGGCCCTTTCAGGAGTAGAAAGCCCCATTTTCCCTCCGCTGACCTTGCAGTTGGCAGCCCAACTCATGACCCACGACACCGCCAGGGCTCCCTCCGTCTGCAACCCCAGAGAGGCTCATCTGCTCAGGGAGGGCCCCTGGGGACAAGTGCCAGACCCAGCTTGTAGAAGGCTGGTGCCCTGGCTTTTCCGGACAGTCTGTGCTGGCTGCAGGGCTTGAAACACAGTGAAAGGCAGTCTGGGCCGAGGGCCACCGCTAACGCACAGGAGTGTGGACCCTCTGGCTGCAGAGCACCGGCTATAGCTATGTGTTTAATGAAAACGTGGGCAAAGCTTAAAAGACCTGCTCAAACAACCACGGGTCAGTCCTTACCAGTCACTATGATAATACAAGTCCCCAGGTGGCATTTTGACTTAAGTGCTTGACCACGAGCCACAAGGTTGGTGTTTGAACCAACCCAAAGGCATGGCAGAAGATAGGCCATGTCGTCTGCTTCTGATGGCCCACAGCCTTACAAGCCCCACGGAGCAGTTCAGCTCTGTGCACGTGGGGCCACCGTGAGGTGGCGACCATCAAGAACAATTACTGGTAGTGAGAAAACACAAACAAGAACTAGCAGCCACCGAGTCCGTGCTGATTCCTGGCGAGCCCCGGTGCTTTGTTGAGACAGTACCTGTTGATGGGAGTAAAAATCCCGGTGTTTCTCCTTCGGGGCTGATGGTGGTTTCGAACTGCCAACCATGCATGTGGGTCAGTACACCACCAGGGCTCCTCCGTGGTGATTATTAGCCTGGTCGTTTCCAGCTTTCCTCTGGCTTTCAGAGACCAGCACTGGTCATGCCCAGTTTGCCCTCCTTCCCAGCTTGGGCGAAATCCTGCGTCGATAGGCACCAAGTCCTCTTATTCCAGACATCTTCGTGTTTGGAGACTGGCAACAGCAGTGTACTAGCTACTAGAGGCCCGAGAGTCAGAAGCTGGGTGGCTTGTTCCCGGACAGCCCTAGGCCCTGAAGCTTGCTCATGATGTGCTCAGGGAAGGCACATGGGGTTGGTCATCACGGTATCATCCTACCTTGTCGAGGCGGGCAGAGAATGCCATCCATGGCTTTGTCATTCACCTTCGTGGGGCTGACAGCGTCTGTGTAGAGGACAGACCCAGAGGAGCCCCCTGTCTTTCTCAGATGAACGGAACCTTGCTGATGGAAAGCTTCTGCACTTGGCCATTTGAAACCACCCATGGGCTCCAAGGGAGACAGACCCGGTGACTTGATTTCTGTAGCTGACAGCCCCGAAGCCCCCAGAGCACAGGTGCACCCAGCCACTGGAAAATGCCATGCTTCCAACATGGACTTGACCACACTGACCATCATCTCAGGAAAACAACAACAACAGACTCAGGGTGCTGAAAGGGAAGTCTTATTTTCAAATTGCTAATAGCACGATTTTAATTGCTGAATCCATGACGACTTGCATTTAAAAGAATTCATCTAAGGGGCCAGGTATAAAAAGTATCGGTTGTCAAACAAAAATAGGCGTACACATCATTTTCCATGCTCCACAGAAGGGAAATTCAGGAGAACCCTTCTTGATGACGCGGTTCTTATTCGGACTGCCGCATTTACGTCCATCCATCTTCATTCCTCCAGCACATTAGTTATAAACGTTTCCAACCACACTTGTTTATGAGGGTTAGTGGGGAGAAGCTTTCTTTAGTTGACCATACCTCTCTCCAGGATGCCCAAATCATGTGATTTTCACTCCTTGAAGAATTTGGTTATGTTCTTAGGAAAAAACCTATTTATGAAGGAGAATAAAATTCTTCAAATCTTTTTGGTTGAGATAGTCTATCTGTATACTCGCTGCTCTATGTAGAGCAGAGGCAGGCAAGTGTTTACTTAAATATAGTGAATATTTTAGGATTTGTGAGTCATATGATTCTGAAAACATGAAAGCAAATGGTCATGGCTATGTTTCAATACAACTTTATTTAACAAAAACAGGGGGATGCACCTTAGTTTGCCAACCTCTGTCTTGGATGGAAGAAACCCTGTGGGTTAGGCATGGTCTTGTTAACCACAAGGTCAAACTCACCAGTTGCTCCTCAGGAGGAAGATGTAGCATTTTGCTCAATGGCCATGGACCAGGGTTTGGTCCTGGATGGGAGGTAGGAGTTGGCATTCTGCATATCTGCATATTCTGCATAGATGTTCATTACCAAGTATTTGCTTTTGATCCAGAGGTGCATGTGATCCAACTGCAGTAATTTAGCATACATCTATATAATGGCACAGGAGAACCTTTGACCCAGACCGTTTTATGTGAACAATCATACAAGTAGAATAGAAATGAGGAGGGCATGATGTCATAGCTCTCCCTGCCAAACAAGCAGAATTGGAATGACATTCACTTCAGTGCATTTATCTAGAATAAAGTGAAGAATCATTGTACAGCTGCTTGGAAATTGGAGAGAGTACACCAACCAGCATTTCGTTTGGACAGCTACACTAATGGCTGACTTTCCACTTTGCAAGTTTAACATGATTAATGTGACAAATTTTCACTTATCTAGCAACTGATTACTTTTGTTATCCAGTTACAAATCATGAATGATATAAAGGATAAATAACATGATTTATAAAAACTCACTCAATGAATCCTTCTACCCTCAAGTTCAAGTCTTCCAAACTCAAGTACTATATCATTTGGATGGATGCCGAGGAACATTTCCAAAGAAATTCATACATTTCTGAAGCCCCCCTGGGCAAAACCCACTTAAAATCTCCACACGGCCAGTAGCAATTGGCCTCAGGATCTTCCAAGGAAATAAAAATGTGTCCCCATACCTATCTAGAATCCTTTAACACTCACTGATTTTAAACGAGAGAGCAGAGAGAGATGAAGATCCCTAAGAGTCATTTCTGCATCCCTGCTCTGAAAGGTGACAGGCATCTGCAAATGCTCACAGGCCACATCAGACCAGGGGAGGTAAAAAGAATATTACAGCTGGTAAAAAGTACTATGTTGTCAGTCACTTAGAAGTCTGAGTGAAGCTCAAGGTTAACTGTCGAGGTCTAATTTTGGTTTTGCCAGGGTGCTTCTTGTCCTCTCTGATGTTTATAGACTAAGTTATAACTTTTGGCTGTGTGTAGAGATTGAACGGATGAGGAGGGATGAGGAGACATGAAAGTCCTTTACTATGCAAGTCTTTGCAGATCTATCCGACCATCTTACATCTACAGAATGATTTCCTGGCTTGCTCCTTGTCATCTGGAAGGCTTTTAATTCATGATGTATTACAGCTTCCCAAAGCATTACAGAAAAGATGAACTGCTCATATCTCAAGTATCTACAAATGTACAATTCCTCTAAGGATGCTTTTACAATGAACCCATAGTTTGTTTCATAGCATGATACCCAATGATACAGTGGCCCGTTGTCCAAACTTCTTTATGATGCATTGAACCTGAGATTTAAGAACACCCCACTGAAGAGTCAGTCACAGACACCTGATATAAAACAAATGCCTTCCACCGACCCACCCATGTCCTCCAATGAGAGAGCTTGGTCAATCTCCACCTACTACCTTTTATTTGTTGTAATGCTAGAATTTTTCCTTCTTGAAAACAAAAAAGTTATTACAGGAACCATCAAGGCTTCCTGTATACTGTTTGTAGGCTAAGGAACCCCAGCGGAGTAGTGGTTAAGTGCTCAGCTGATAACCCAGAGGCCAGAGATGTGAGCCCACAGCAACTCCACAAGAAGGTGCAGTGGTCTGCTTGTATAAAGATAGGGTTTGAAATCCTACAGGGCAGTTCTACTCTGTTCTGTATAGTCACTAAGATTCAGAATTAACTCCATGGTAGTGATTTTTTTTTAAAAAAAAGGCATTTCAAAAGGTTATAGTCCATTTGAAAGGTTGAACAGATTCATGATAACTTTCTGAGGCTTTGAGTTATTTGCATTGTCTAGTTCACATTAGACATCTCAATGTAAAAGAGAACATGTGTTTGCAACTTCTTTTTGGCAGTCCTGATGTCACAGAAGGGTGGGCCAGCAGGTCAGGCAGTGCGTCTCATGTTCAGAACATGTAAATTTTACAGAATGCTCATGTACACTGCTACTGCAAAAGAGGCAATGATGATGCCAAATTCTCAATAAAATTGCTCCAAGTCAACCTTGAAACCTGTCTCCTTTGCAGATGAGCATCCTGTCTCTGCGAAGATGAAGGAGAAGACAGCAGCAGCAGCAAGATCTCTTACTTGAGACCCAGTACATTTTTCATTTCACTAGCTCTATTTCTACCTGTGGCTCATTCCACAAACATTTGATGAGCACCTGCTACGTGCTAGGCACTGTTTTGGTCTGAGGATACCTTATGAACTAAACACAGGACGTCCTTACCCCTTACATTCTAGTGAGGGGGGGACACCAGTAAACACATAAATATTGTAATACCACAGGTTCTAAATAACTTAGAGACATCTTGTCTGAAATTTATTTACAGCATCTCATGTTTTTGAGCGAAAGGAGAATGATGGATTATAGAAATGGCACTGGTCCTTGTTCCCCCATCCAGAAATCGGATGGATTTAAGCAAGTTCTTCCATTGAAGCCTCAGCTTCCTCATCTGTAAAGTGGGACGGAGGTTGGAATATGTGACTGAACAAGCTATCTCTGACTGGTTAGTTTTTACGGTTTCATGGGAGCATCTTCTACAAAATCAAGAGCCCCTGGGTGGACGTCAGTAGGGTTGGAAAAATTGAAAATCAAATGGGAGAAATCCTGAGACATTCCACATACACTTGGTACTTTACAGATCAATCTCAGTGTCGTTCATAATTAGCAAATGCCTTATTTGCAATGGCTATAGAGAGAGGTTGTTTTACCTTTCGTAGCCATCTGAGAATAACTTATTTATTTATAAAAGTATCTTCCTTTCCATCATTGGTGACATCATCCACCTCATTTGTGAAATGGTATCGGGCTAAGAAATCCTACCCTGGTTTTGAGAGTCTCTCTCTTCTTCTTCATTGGCTTGATGCTCCTGTTTAACCTCCGGGCGGAACTAGGAGGTCTCTGAAAACTGGGTTGGTCTTCACTTCTTGGAACAGCCCTAAGGAGATTCTGCCGGCGCAGCCCATGGACATTTGTCATCACTGCACCACCCCATGCTTGACAGGCACAGGACTTGGGGGAACTTGCATTAGCTCCTCTGAGAGAACTATGTTTAGTAAACCTAGGCTTTGGTATATCAAAGGATATTCTAGCACCCTAAGTGGAAAAGTGGGGTTTCCAGAACTTTTCACAGACAAGAACATGGGAATTAATAAGTACCTGAACTTTTTCATAAGCTCTTATGGAATGTTAATGTGTATTTAATAACACAAGCTGAGCAGCACATAGTTTGCAATCAATTAATTTTTTCTTAGAGGAGATAATGGGGGCCGAAAAATTGAATGTCAAATAAGGCTATAGACTCATGCTTACGAACCTGGTGGGACTTATGTAGCCTTTGGTTCTCTGGACTGACAAATTGAGCTCCCTAGTTTTATTCTGAAATGTGGAAGCTTACATTGCAATCAATTCTTCAGCTAAAGATGACAGGAACATTCACAGACGTATAAGGCATTTTCTCTTCGTCTCTGGATCAGATCCCCACAGACCCCTTGGAGGTTTCTGAAGGCAGCGCACGCTCTCTTTGAGTTGTGTCTGGTTTCTGTGTAATCAAATAAACTGCTCGTGCTTTCAAATTTGATCAGCTAGGCCCTATCCCAAGGACACATCTTAGCAGTAGCGTTGGGGTGAAGGGAAATCTCTGCTTCAATAAGTGAATTTAATTCCTTCCTATTGCTCTGTGGAGTTAAAGATAGTTCAATAGTATCAGCAGTGCCTCGCACGGGCTGCTGTGTAGACTAAAGCTGACCCTTCAGTCGCTGACAACAAAGAATGCCCACAGTCTCTGTTGGAGGGGCACCACTACTTTGGGCACATCTGGAACGAGCATAAAAAGATGTCCTAGCAGCACACCATACCTACAATAGCGCCTGTACAGGGTACAAGGCCAGGGCCAGCCAGCAGACTTTTGTTGCATGAGGGTCCTGAAAGAATAAAGAGGTTCAGACAACTTTGGACAACAGATCAATTCTCATTAGCAAAGGCAATGCATTTTGGTGTATGTCATGGGATTTGAATTGATGATGGTGGCATATAAGCGCCTACCAGCAAGAATGCAGTCCTGTCTTCGCCAAGACAGACTGTAGGAATTATATAGCCCTGCTCATAGTCCGTCAGTCCCTACATCCGTATAGCTGTATCCCTCGCAAGCCAGTCCACATCAGTCCTTGGAACTTCCCCAGAGTCAATCAAGGGGCTGGAGACAAGAAGGTGCCAGTGCAGCCTGTGGCAGTGAGAGTCCCAGAGAGTCACTGTGTGCCGCGCACTGTGGTCTTTGGGTGACAACTGTTGGGCTGCAAAAGAGTTGAACGCTGCCGAAGCCACACTCTTCCTAAGTCCACACCTCCATGGGCACCATGGATTCTTTGGTTCCAACGGAAGGCAGGAGGTTTTCTTCAGACAAGAAGTAAAAGGGAAATTGCACCAAAAACCCACGGATCTTTTTCAGTTCCTCCTCGGCTCGGACGGGATCTTCTTTCACTAATATCGGCTTGCCAATAAAGTCTCGCAGCTGAATTAAATTGTGTACTTCATCACTGGGAAGGCACCGGAACACCTGCGTGAAACACAGGTGGTCAATTCAGCGACCGCTGGGACGAAGGGGCAAGCACCCAACAGTAGGGAGGGCAGCACAGCTAAGTGACTAAGGTGAACGAGACACGAGGGCGGAGGTACACAAGAGTACCAGGAACACGGGTAAATACTACTTGCTGCACAAGTATTAACCCATGATTGGTACAGCAATACCCAATAATACAAACAAGGAGATACATAAACTGAGCCCATGTGGGAAGATGAGTGAGCCTTCGGCAGAGGACATTTCTATGCATGTTTTTATATGTTCTGCAAATCCATCCCCCCACCCCCCAAATACAAACAACATTTGCGGACACATAGCACCTCCCTGTGGGTTTTGGAGAGTGGTGGTTTTGAAGCCCGGGCATCTCAGCCCCACACATAACCACTGAACCACAAGGGCTCCTTTGCTCTGTGGTCCTAACTCTCCAAGCCCAGGCACGCATTCCCTCCAGGTCTTTAATTATGGATAAGAAGTTCTGGAACTCTGTCCCTTGGATGCTCTACTATATCCTTGGGGGGAGGGGGGGGAAGGAAAAAGAAAAAGGGTGATCCCCGTTGTGAAAAAATATTCCAATAGACACAACCTTTGTGCTGTGACATACTAGTTACATGTTACCAGGGTCACACCATATAACATATTGGCTATTTGTCACAGCAAAGAGCTAATTTAAGAGTCGCTTCTCTTATTTGTTACCAATAAGGCTTGGATCGTTTTAAAAAATCATAATTGCACCCTTACCTCTTATCTAAACAAGTCATTACCCCAAACCAAAGTTAACTAATGGCATGGAATCCCATTGTTGTTACCCCACCATCATGAAGGTCCATCATGTGGCTAATAATCTTCTCTAAATTTCATGTGAAGTTCTGGCCTAAGGTTTCATAGAAATAGACACATATCCATATATTCTAATTTTTTATTTTGAAAGATCTTTTGCTCTTATACTGCTTGCAGTTAAATAATTATCACCTGTTAATATATAACACTTATTCTGATGATTTGACATGAGTTTTAGACATTATAACACTTCAGCATGTATTTACTAACAATAAGGGCCTGTGTCTCTGTAACCACATTACCATGATCTCAGAAAACCGGTTTCATAGCCTCATTTAAGTTGAGGTCCACTGGGATTTAGCATACCAATACCAAAGTCAAACTCATGGGTATCAAGTTAATTCCAACCTCAAGTGGCACGGTGGGAGAGAGACCTATCCCAGGAAGTTTCCAAGGCTGCGATCTATACTGAGACAGATTGTCACTTCCTTTGTTCTCTTTCTTTTTTTTCAGCATAGCAGCTAGTAAGTTCAAATTGCTAAGCTTTAGGTTTGCAGCCAAGTGCTTAACTACTGCACCATCATGACCCCTTAGATTTATCAAACGACCCCCCAGATGACTGTAGAGCCACTCCCCTTTAAGGATCCTATCAAGACTGCCTGCTGCATTTATTACATTACATTTTAATAGACTCCCACATCCATGGCCTATTTGATCATGGCCATAAATAAAGCTACACAGAATAGTTGTCAAAGCTAATTAAGAAGGAAGATACTTCCAGTACTGGAGGGGGCCTGGAAGCTCATGAAGAAGAACACATTTTTAACCAACTACTGATAGGTGCCCAACCAGTCTCAAATGGGCCATTTTCCATGATGGCATGCTGACGGCTTCATGAGCATACCCTGCTCTACTGTTGAGCAACTCGATCTTGAACTTCCCGAAATACCCAACAACCAATGGAAGAAATTACCAGGGATGCACGTGGCTGCCATAACAAATGGAGCTTTCTAAACACCTTCTAAAACCGGAGCTTCCCAACAAACAAGTGCCTTTTTTTTACCATCCTCATCACTCGAAGCATTCTTCCTCCTATTTCATTGCAGAGAGAGAAACAAAGAAGTCCCAGAATGCCAAGTCCCTCTGCACCAAGTGACATCACCACCAACAAGTGTTTGAGCAGGACTTGAATCCAAGTCTCACTCACTTTTTAACCTTATCTGTCTCTCTGCCCTTCATTGTTAGAAATGTTCAGAGACGTGGTAACCCTGTGCCAGGGATGTGTAGAATGGACTTCCTGCCACAGATGCGATATCAGAAGGCTACCAAGGTTCCTTCTACCCATAATCCATGATGTTTTTGACTTTCCTTTTTTTGCTGTGAGCAAACACTGTACCAATGTAATGTGGAAGTAATGACATGCATTTAGTTACAATAGTCAATTGGAAAAGAAGGGAGACAGAAGGAGATAAAGTCACCTTATCATAAATTGTAGCATTTCGAGCTGCTGTGGAAACCCAAATCTCCTTGAAGAATTTGTCACTCACTGGGTCCTGAAGGTCCTCACTTGGGTCCGAAAGATAGCCAAGGACGAGTCTGAAATACAAATGCCCTCCCAAATAAGTAACCAAAAATGCAGTTGGCATTTCTAAGGGTAAGGCAATTCAGGCACTCAATCAGGAAAGTCATTTTGTTAAAATTGATTTATATATTACTATGATGCTTGAAGGTTTAAGTGCTGGAGAGAGAGAAAAATCTTCCTTTGTTCTGAGAGTGTCCTTGAAATTGGGCATAAGGTGTCAAAAGCTTTGGAGAACAAGACTGGTGTTCAAACCTGGGAACAGCCAATGCGCTAAGCCTTTCACGAAGATCATCTCACTACATCCTTAACAACACCATACGTTAGCCTCTAACATGAGCTTCACTTTGCAGAGAAGGGAAATACGGGATGGAAAGGTTAAGCAACTTGGTCCACGTTTGTAAGCTGTCGAGCTGGGACTCCGACCAGGACTCTCCATCTCCAAACACTGCCTTTCCTTCTTCCTTTCCTGTATTTCTTCCGGGAAAGCACTGTGCTGAACTCCAGGAGAGAGGAAAATAGATAAGAAACATATGGGGCATCTCTGACTAGAGTTAAATCCGGTGAGCAAGACCAACAGTGAATAAATAATCATTGACTGAATCGTAGGCATAAATAATATATCAAATAATGGATTAATTAAGATGGTGATAAATGCAGGGTGTGCTTTCAGAGCAGGCAGTGAGGCTAAAAGCGTTTCCTTCTTCCACCGGTTTGCCTAACTCCACTTACCACCTTTTCAGTTTCAGTACATGGTCACCTCTTTAAACCCTTTTGTGAGTCTCCGTTCTCCCCTCTCCCATTTCTCTCTGTCAGTCCTGGCCCAGACGAACCTTCTTCCTTCCTTTCGCCCACTCTACTTCACGGATGCTTGGCATCAGTGCACTTGTGAAGGTTTCTCCCCTTTTTGATTCAACAGGCTTCTTGCCCATTGATAGAATGTACATTCCCTGAGAGACCATAGTTACTCAGTATCTCAGTCTAAAAAATAAAATAGCACCCCTCACTGCCATGAGTTAATTCTGACAGCTACCCTCCAAGACAGAGTAGAACTGCCCCTGTGGGCTTCTGAGACTACACCTCTTTACAAA